TCAGGTGCCTGGCAAGGCTCGAGACTTTTTCGTATCCAACTTCCACGTTTAATATTTGCTATATCATCCAGATCCGCTTGTGTGTGTATCTCCAATGAATCCGAAAACCGTATAGTGCTAGCGCGTTTTGCGAGTTTTTTCTCTTTCTGTACTTCATCGGCGACCGATGTTAATGAAGAGCGGGCACTAGCCATACCCGTTTTCCTTTCAGTTTCGGAAGATGAAGGTTTTCGTGAACCTCCAGTATTTCTGGATTTCCTGGAATTTCTGGATGCTCTGGAACCTCGTCTTTTCTTTTTAGGCTTGTTGTCCTCACCGCTGTGATTTTTTACGTTCACTACTTCATGTTTCCATTCAGCGTTTTTTTCATTATTCTCAACATTTTTCTTTTCATCAATAGAATTGGATGCACACTCAATTCCTTCCAACCATGCAGCAATTTCCCTTTGATCCTTCTGAAAGTTTTCAATATCCTTCCCATTAATTGAGTTGTCATCTTCGCCGAACAGGTAACTCCTTGTTGCGAGTTGACAAAAATATGTAGTCAAGATGTCAAATTTTGAGTTAGTGAAATATGATAGGGCATCACATGATACTTCAACCCAGGGAGATATTAAGATGACGCCAAGAGGTCGAGGTAATGTGGAGGTAGTGTAGAGTTTTTGTAAGAGAGCTAGGATGAGGGTCCCACCCGTCGAGGTACCACCTATGTATTAATTATAGCAGATTAAATTTAGAAATAGGAAAGATAAGTCATATAAATATTTCTTTTATCATAAAAAAACCACTCACACAAAAAAACATTCTGCGACCCGGGTATCCCGCTCGCGGTCAGCCACCGATAAGCGCGTTTGACGCTACACAATCCATTTGGATATGGATTCTCCGGAGCAAGAGCATGATCGACAACAAATATTCTCACGTGCTTGTCATGCTTAGTGCGTAGTGTCCTTAATAGGTAGCAAAGCGATTGAATTCCGGATGGTGAAGATACGTATCCTATGTCTATATTTTAAGGAAACAAGAGAATTTAATATTTCGAATTTTGGTCACCTTCACATAACTTATTTCATTCCTACCATGAACATGTAGCAGAATAGCCTGTGCTTGCTTGCCTTTCCATATCTTAGGACCTAACCAATGCCCTTTCACGCCTGTAACGTTCGTCACCGGTTCAATCGGTTCCGAACACCGTGAAGCCTTTAACGGCGATTCAATGAACGCGGAATTACTTCTTATCGTTGAGAGGGAAGAGTTTAACGAACGCTTAATTGTTCTTATGGCAGTTTCTTGGTAGACGGTGAGCGAGGGATGGCGAGATTTTTTGGAAATGTAGTGTTCAAAGAACACGCGCGGATATAAAGTCACTG